CATCTGAGGAAACACAAACTATCAGACAGAGGTATTACTAGAACCACGAAATATTTAGTTATACATAGTGATAAAGTCTTTTTTTAATCAATTCAACTCATAGCAGTCAATTGATTTGCATAGTAGCCAGGTAGCACCAAACTAGCTAGTTTTATTATTGATAAATTCAAAATTTCGACCCCATAGACTCTGTTTTGTCCTTCTATGAAAGAAATTAATTAAATCTATATACTCTCGAGTTTAAGGCTAAACCTCAATGGTTTCATCTCGATTTATCCAATAAATCCTAACAAAATTCATAATCCAAAATCTCCAATAAAGTAAATAAAACAGAAAGTTACCAGTGGTACGTAAACTATGAGTTTCCAGAACTAGCATAAGCAAAGCTGCAAAGCGAAGAATTCATCTTCATAGTCTAAGATTTTATGAATGAAAGGTCTTCTCAACGCCAGTACCTGCACGCAACATTAATTTTGCAAAATTCATATCAAATTCAGAGTAAATAAAAACAGATAGTGGAGTAAAAAGATAAAAAAAAAAAACACAGAAAAGACTCGAGTAATTGATGAAGCAATATACACCAAGGGTCCAAGGGAATAAGTAAGGGCGACGCGTAGACTTGAAGGGAGCTGCTGAGCAGCGACATCTCGAAGAATGTGGGACGCGTCCCTTATCCTCCCACCTGAAACAACATCTCCCTGTCTCTATCTTTTTCTAGCTACAGAATATATACCTCCGCCACTTCTCTGCCATGCCGGGAAGAGTTTTCACCTCCGCCAATGCTCCGCCTGGAAGACCAGTTGGGAAATCGGAGGTGGACCGGCGTCGGAAAGCTCCTTATGGAGGCCGTGGGAGATGTGGATTTACGGTGGCCGTGGGAGATGTGGATTTAGGGTAGGAGAAATTGAAAACCAGAGGAACTCGGGAAAGGGGGGAGAGAGAGAGGGAAGAGAAGTGAAAACGGTGTTTCCCGTCTTTTCTAAAATCACCGTGTTTTGTACTGAAAATGGTGAAAACGTGGTTTTTGTTGTTTTGTGTTTTCAGCACAATTTTTTTTTTGTTTTCCAAAATTCATTTTCAAAAATGAGAAAGAGAACACGTTTTCGGTGTTTTGGAAAATCAAAAACCGAAAATAGTCAGAAAACAACAAAGAGAACGGGGCCTAAGTGATTCATTCATTTTACAAGTTTCACTTTTCAAGTAGGCATATTAATCAGTCAATAATTTCTTGATTTGTATGTTTCCAACAGTTTTTCTCATTTCTGTAGAACTGACTTGTACTGTTGTTATGATGACAGGTCACTTAATAAAACTTTGGCTTCAACAAACAATGGCTTTTTGGCTTTATCATGCGCTGCAGAAACACTATCTAGCTTAAAGAATGTAAGTTCCAGAGATCTAATATTGCAGAACTATTTTTACTATATATAATTGAGATCACTGAATATGCAATTACAATTTGAAATGCTCTAAAGCTGTTTCAAGGATATTTCGGCTAAATCTTTCTTACACTTCGTGAGATGGATGTCGTGTTGAATCTGATTGTCTAGAGAGAATCAATCTTTTGCAGGACCAAAAATGTAAGTAAACCCCATTCTGATGAAATAATGTTCTACGTGCTGGGAGTGATCATGTGTTAAGTTAATCTGTCAGCCAGGATGAAGTATCATTTTGCTGGACAGCCAGGATGAAGTATCCTTTTGCTGGACTTGATCATGTGTTAAGTTGATTTTGAAACTAGTAATCAAAACCACTTTTGGCAGCTCTTTAATATTTCTACCGATAATTTACAATGGATGGCAATGCCTGCATAATTTACTATATATGGCAGCTCTTTAAGTGAATCAAGTTTTTATGCTTCTATTATGCAGACAGATCAAGTTTCCAACACTTTCATTTTATGATCTGTTTACTTGTACAGTATAGAATCAATAACTGTTGATTTTTGTTGGGATTTGTTTGGAGATTGCATACAGTTTTGAATGTTGCTGGTATTTCCTTGGTAGGTTCTGAGATGCAAAGCTTCTGATGAATCATTGTGATTATGCAGCTGCCACAAGTATACGGTATTAATTTTCAAGTTTATTGACATTGAATAACTCTATTAATGTTATTTGGGTGAATTTTTATTTGGATGGCTATAGCATGTATTAAATATTAATCTTATTTGGATGACGTATTGCTTTTATTTGAATATATGGTAATAAATTACACTTTGCCCAAACCGGCCAACCCAACCCAACCCAACTCAACCCACCCGACCGAAACTTGATTTGGTTGGGTTTTTACATTTACCCAGGTTGGGTTGGGGCAAAAACCGCCCCAACCCACGCCCACCCCTAGCTGCTGAATCGAGCCTTGCTGGACCAAATGTTAGTCATGTTTGGCGAGCTTAAGAGGTGTGCGACTCTAATCTGTTGTTAACTACACAACAGTAAAGTGACACCCTAATAATGAACGTTTGGGCGAGTTTATAAGGTGCTCGACTTTAATATGTCGTGTAATCCTAGCTCTCAAAATCTGCAGGCTCTTCAAAACTATGAGCTTATAATTTCACACATACATGCATTTCAGGTTAAATTATATAAAAAGTTTCCAAATAGCGTTAGTTTACTTCGTGGCAGGAGTACGGATTAATTACAACAGTATGAGGTTGCACATAGGAAACTTCAGTTTGTAATGATAACAGTTATTGTTACATGACAATATCAGCTTAGTATTGCAAACCATAACTTGACTACAAACTTCCAAAAACCATAAATCTCTATCAACTAAAAAGAAAAGCTACTCAACCTATAAATCTTCTATCTCCTCGAGGGAAGAAAAATGCCCATCAATTCGACATAAGACTTCTTGATCAATAGGGGACGGACTAACCCCCTTCGATGGAGAATCAATGGATTGCCTCTTGGGTGACAATTTGTTTTCAGATTTCTGTTCCTTAGACATCTCGGGATCACTTTGTCCCGTCTGATGTTTCTTAGAATGCCAACTAAACATCTGGGATGCAATCTCCCGACAGGCTGTCAGATCTTCGTCACTTTGGGCTTTGCTTAATTTATCGATAAGTTCGCTTAGAGCTAAAGCCCTCCCTGCCTTAGAAGACTTGATCTTTTTAGACATCCTATCAACTTCTTCGGGATCACTAATTTCACTAGCACCATCATTTTGCTCAAACTTTCTAAGCTTCTTCAATCCTTGATCAACAATGTATTGCATCCTCTTTCTCAAGTTTTCAGTTCTTACCGGATATGTTAGCTTCAACTTCAACCCCTGCACCATCTTCTCAACGTTTTCTGCAGCAGTTGAACTTGCTGACTGCTCATCGTGTGGGGAATTTACAGAGAAAACCTCTTCCAATAAGCGTACATTTTGTACATAGCGGTCAAAAGATTCATGTTCTGCTTCAATGTTTCTGTATCTGAATTCCTTCAACTTTAAGAACCTCCATTCTTTTATAACTTGTGCATCCTGACAAATTTTTCAAATAAAGAAACCGATTTCGACCCATATAAAAATAAAGGTAGTAAAAAGAATGTATCTCTACCTTTCTGGTCAATGGCTTCCTAGACCGAAGTGAAGTTGGCAAATTGTTAAATTGTGCGAAGTTGCTGGAAAGTTGGCGAAGTCTGTGGGAGTTCCTGCAATATAAGGTAACCAATATCAGACAAATGGGACCACCTGAACTAAAGTTGGCGAAGTCTGTGGGAGTTCCTGCAATATAAGGTAACCAATATCAGACAAAGGGGACCACCTGAACTTCGAAGAAGTTACATACATCACCTTACCAAACTTGAAAAGCAGCAACTCGGAATTAAAAACAGAAAGTCAAACGGGTACCCACAGGAGACACAACAAGAAACGGTCTCTTTTAGTCCTTATAAGAGTAATAATAAGTATGGCAACTTAAAAAAATTAGTTACATCAAACAATTTTGGGATTCAAAATATATATGTGCAAATAAATGGCTCAAGAGAAGCGATAAGAACATAAGGCCCCGTTCTCTTTGTTGTTTTTTGACTATTTTCGGTTTTCGATTTTCCAAAACACCGAAAACGTGTTCTCTTTCTCATTTTTGAAAATGAATTTTGGAAAACAAAAAAAAAATTGTGCTGAAAACACAGAACAACAAAAACCATGTTTTCACCATTTTCAGTACAAACCACGGAGATTTTAGAAAAGACGGGAAACACCGTTTTCACTTCTCTTCGCTCTCTCTCTCCCCCCTTTCCCGAGTTCCTCTGGTTTTCAATTTCTCCTACCCTAAATCCACATCTCCCACGGCCACCGTAAATCCACATCTCCCACGGCCTCCATAAGGAGCTTTCCGACGCCGGTCCACCTCCGATTTCCCAACTGGTCTTCCAGGCGGACCATTGGCGGAGGTGAAAACTCTTCCCCGCATGGCAGAGAAGTGGCGGAGGTATATATTCTGTAGCTAGAAAAAGACAGAGACAGGGAGATGTTGTTTCAGGTGGGAGGATAAGGGACGCGTCCCACATTCTTCGAGATGTCGCTGCTCAACAGCTCCCTTCAAGTCTACGCGTCGCCCTTACTTATTCCCTTGGACCCTTGGTGTATGATTGCTTCATCAATTACTTGAGTCTTTTCTGTGTTTTTTTTTTTTTTATCTTTTTACTCCACTATCTGTTTTTATTTACTCTGAATTTGATATGAATTTTGCAAAATTAATGTTGCGTGCAGGTACTGGCGTTGAGAAGACCTTTCATTCATAAAATCTTAGACTATGAAGATGAATTCTTCGCTTTGCAGCTTTGCTTATGCTAGTTCTGGAAACTCATAGTTTACGTACCACTGGTAACTTTCTGTTTTATTTACTTTATTGGAGATTTTGGATTATGAATTTTGTTAGGATTTATTGGATAAATCGAGATGAAACCATTGAGGTTTAGCCTTAAACTCGAGAGTATATAGATTTAATTAATTTCTTTCATAGAAGGACAAAACAGAGTCTATGGGGTCGAAATTTTGAATTTATCAATAATAAAACTAGCTAGTTTGGTGCTACCTGGCTACTATGCAAATCAATTGACTGCTATGAGTTGAATTGATTAAAAAAAGACTTTATCACTATGTATAACTAAATATTTCGTGGTTCTAGTAATACCTATGTCTGATAGTTTGTGTTTCCTCAGATGCTTCTTTTGCGGAATCATTATATGGACTACGCAGAAGAGGAGTTATGAAGTCAAAAATGTAGTCTATCTACAATAAGGAAAGGGAAGCTACACTTCAGGCAAGTTTATGGGGAGTTAGTGATGAAAGATTTGATGATATTGACTACCTCGATAGAGGCGGTAATACCTTTGAGTCGAGATTGCAGAAGGCTATTGGTGCTTGCTACCCTTGGATACATGCTGGAAATGAAGGTGCATTTGGCATATGTTTCCGACATAGATCTTTTCTTAAGAATTGTAAATTTTATTAGGATTTTTATCCATTATGGAACAAGATGTGATTCACTTGACTTCTGTTAATTGGAAATTTGTTTTGACGTTACTTTTTTGGGAATAGCGATAGAGGAAGACGACTTTCGCATGAATGCTTTATATGCCCTTTGTGGAAGTTTTACTTGAGAACTAGTATCTGTGCCTTTTTTTTTTTGGGTGTAATCTGTTTGAGTAGATCAGTTACAGGGATAGTAAATTGAACAATTCTAAGTTTCATAGTGAACTTCAGGAGAGAGTAAAATTTGGTTCTAGGAAACACTAGAGATGGATTCTGGAGAAAAAATGTCAATAAGTTCTTGGAGGGATAAGGTGAAAAGTTTGATTTATTAAAATGGGGCACAATTTTTTAAGAGAAAAGGTAATAATGAGAAGTTGTGAATTCTCGCCTCCTATTAAACAAGTATTTCCTACTGTTATATTTCCTTTATGTACCTCTAGATCACCTCTGATATGTTCTGTCATCCTGTCTTTCAAAGGGACATTTACTCTTGTTTGAGTTGAGCTCCTGGGACGCTTTCTCGTATTTATGCATGTTATCAACCTATTGCAAATCTGTTGTTTACACCAGCCAAAGAAACAAGTTTTAAACAGTTTTTCTACCAACAAAGTGTTTGACTAGTTTATAGTTCATGGCCTTTTCTGATTAGATTTTGTTCTCCTTCATTTAAATTTTCTACTCAGCATTGTAGCTATAGTTTGACAAACCCATTTATTCGTTACAAAGAATCTAGTATACGTGCCAAAAGTTTGCAAAAGGACATACCATGAAACTTCAGCACCTAAATTTCACTACAAAAAACCAAAAAGGCTTCTCAATATTTGAAGTTATATATGTTGAATTCCTCAATGATTTTCATGGTAAAATTGTAAGTACCAGCAGTGCTCTCTTTCCACATTTTGTTCATGAATCTATTGGTAACATCCATCTAACAAGCGCTAGTTTTGGTCGTGCAGGGTTATTGTTTGCTTATCAGCTGTTATATTTGTTGGATGCTACCGGATTCTATTGTGTAGGATTACATGCACTTAATTAGAATATGTTTGTCTTAAGTGTAATGATTTGTTTATGCTTAGTGGATTCTGCATTGCTTTACTTGGCAAAGTTGCTGTCTATAATTTTAATGGTTTAGCAAATTTTAAAAAGTTTTTAACTTATATCAAGGAAGCACTTGTTCTGTATTATCAAGACTAATATGGATGATGTAGATTGGGACTTACGTTGCAACCAAAGAGCATTAGTTTTGATGCTAGTAACCTCAAATGGGACAAGTCCAGGATCAAATTGCTACTACTCTAGACGGCATACATAATTCCGTGGATTTATTTACACTTATTAAATTTAATTTAGGTTGTGATTTTAATAATTGGAAAAAAAATTAAGATTCAACAACTTCATATATGCTATTTAATAATATATTAACATCAAACTATTAAAATTTATTGAATAATCAAATATCTTGAATAAAATATTATCAAAAAATTATCAAAATTTCAAAATAAACGCGTTTTCCATTTTTATGTTTTCGAAAATAGTTTTTCAGAATGGCAAAAGGAACGCATTTTCAGAAACTTCAAAACAGACACTAAAAACACAAAACACAAAACGAATTCAAAACTCAAAACACAAAACTGAAACACAAAGAGAACGATCCCTTACTTTTTACCTAGCAACTCAAATAACAAGAGCTCACAAATTAAGTGTGCACTTCATTCATCTATATTTGACACATTAGTACTTGTTTGGCAGTGCTTATAAACTGTAGAGACGTGAGTGATTTATAAGTGTGGATCTTAGGAGATGTGTGGATAAAAAGAACGTTTGACCACCCAGTTTGATTTAACTAAAATTCAGCCTATGTTTGAGTCACATTCTCATTTTCATTCTCATTCTTCTACTCATTTTCAACTACACATTTTTCAATAAAATAATATTTTCCATCACATCAATAACTTTTCCTTCTTTTTCAACCACATTCACAATCACATTACAAAAAAATGCATTTTTTCAATTCTTCTACTCATTTTAACCACCCATTCTTTAATAAAATAATATTTTTCATCACATCAATAACTTTTTCTTCTTTTTCAACCACATATTCATCATCACATCACAAAAAAAAAAATGCATTATCTTCTAAAAATGTGCATCAAACACACTCTCAGGCCTCAGCTTTCTTTTTTTTAGTAGAATTTGATGAAAAAAATTAATGAAATGTGTGATTGAAAAGTAAAAGTTATGTATCTTATAAAATGTGTGGTTGAAAATAAGTTCGAGGAAAAATAAGTTCTAAGAAATCGAGGACCAAACAGGGGCATAATTTAAACTTTGCCAAACGAAAGATTAACACGAGTAGAACGTTTAACTCACAAAACATAGTTATTATATCGATGACTAATGACAAATATTGATTACATCACAATTACAGACGCAAATTCTCTCCACAAATCAGTAAAATATAACACAAAACAAGGACTTTCCATTGATTACAATCCCTTTAGCTTGTATTAACTGAACTGATGACAACAGAAATCTTGATCACCCATGCTTTTTCTTACCCTGTAACTAAATGAATCACGTGTTAAGAGACATAATGGCAAAAAGAACGCATTTTCAGAAATTTCAAAACAGACACTCAAAACACAACACACAAAACGAATTCAAAACTCAAAACACAAAACTGAAACACAAAGAGAACGGCCCCTAAGTTTTTTTTGGTGAACGGTAAAACGCAAAAAATAAAGAAATGGAAGGTATCAAAAAGAAAATGTACAACATAGACGGATTTATATCTGGAACAGAGTGCTAACAACTCACCCCGAATGAGATGCTTCATTTGATTGCTGGTCAAATATGGGAGAGCTGGCAGATGGAGACTTGTCTGGAAAAGATGAGTTGCCTTTCAAAACTGCAGTAATCACAGTTGTCAGCGGTAATTTTGAATTAAAAGGTACCTTTCAAAAAAAAATTTGAATTAAAAGGTGATAATGCTTATAGTTCTTGCAAATAGAAAACTAGGTTAGTATTTGACGTGTTCTTGTATTTGAAGTTCATTTATCAGATGCCCGCACAAATTGGCTCTGGACAAAGTTTCAAGATATAATAGTATGTAAGTTTCAAGATATTATTGTATGTTTGCAACCACCTAATATTATTATAGGTTTGTAAACCTATTGCTGGAAGTGCACAACTTCTTCCTGCCTAAGTCACCAAATTAGCTTCTTAAAATTGCACTTCTCATGGGAGTCCATCCAGGGAAGATTACAAGGCGCACACCATATCGATAAATGGACTTCCAGCTATAACTGCAGATCAACATCCTTTCGCAGCAGAGAATAATGTCTTACTTGAGAATTCTGCCATTTGTCTTTCCCTCATATATCCCACCTTAGCATCCATGTCTACAAGACTATGACTTATTCCCTTATCTTTTTCTTTAAATGCTATAAAGCCCCTGTTTTGTAGAAATTAAAATCCAGATTTAAATTTAAATCAAAGTCAACAATTAATTTTAATTACTTATTTTATGAGAGCCACAACTTTTCAACAATGCATTTCATCAACTTTTATCAAAATCTGCTAAAATCTTATTTTAATCCTCACCAAACAAGGGCATGTTCAAAGATAACTAGAAATTTATCAACTTGTTTTACCACGGAAAAAGGAAGAACAAAGAAGCATACCATGTATGTGACATGGATTTTGAGCTTTTGCGCAGCAGTTTTTGCATGACTGGTACGGACACCTGCATATAAAATTGAACTCAACAAAAGACAAAACATGCAAAATAAATACATGTTACACTAAGCTTACAATTGGCAAACAATGGATCATGGCAATTAATAGTTGATATCATGGAGCTAAATTCAGCATCACTCCAAATTGTCGACCTCTTATGTCTTCAAAGATGCCACTATTACTATTAACAGAAATCAGCAACAGCTACCATCACAGGTTTGTCAATGAAATAGGAGTTAACATCTAGAAACCATAAAAGGGACTGCAGTATTTGACGTGTTTTCATGCAGTTAATATGTTCTCCTTCCCATTCTTGCTATCTTAAAAAAAGGTAGTCAATAGAATGGTCTGGGGGTTAAAGGAAGTCAGAGGATAGGTCTATAAATTTGATCTGTTAGTTGGCTACTTAAATTTATGTAAATTCCGAATAAGTTAATAGTCCTTATTTTGTAAGTTTCCATTTCTGGAGCAGACAATAAAGGAATAAATTTTACGATTACTAGAGTTCAATATCAAGTTTGATAGATGCAAATCAACCCTCGGTGTAATGTCCAAGGCCTCTAAGAGTAATTCTAAGTTCCATGTTTCACCTAATGTTTAAACTAAATTTTCCTGTTTCTATTGTCTACACCAACCCTAATTCTCAACATTAGCATTTGTTCTTAGAGTTTTCACATTTCGTTCTACATCAATTATTCAATTCACATTGGACTACTTCGAAAAAGAACTATATAATCCACCAGGCCAATGTTCTACTAAATGTACAAAAATATACCATATTTGCCCATCAGAAAATTTTCAAAGGCAGAGATTTCCACATGATTTTCCCTCAAATAGGAAACAAACTTCACAAACAAAGATGTGTAGAAACAGCTCTCTTGAAAATCTTAGAAGTTCTGAGTTCAGGTGAAGGTCCAACCGTCCAACTATAATGAACAAATTACAAATTCAAACTCAACATATCCACTCCTCGTACAGCTCATCACATCGGTCTATAGTACTTTCAACTTCATTTAGAATTATCTTGAATGACATTTACTCTCTCTTTTCACCTTGAAAGCATAGGTAAACTAATATCTTTTTGCCAGATCACCAAAAAGTTTCAGTAAGTATACAGAAGGACCAAATTGCGCATTTTGTGAACTCGCAGCAGAATTCCACAACGTACTGTCTCCCATTCCCTAGCATCCATAAAATGAAATGCAGGGTGATTTCAAATCCCAATTTCCTCTCCTATTTCCCATATAGCCTTGAAGTTCCACTAAACTAAAAAATTCAAATAGTTCGGTAAAAACAGCACAAAAGCAAACATATTTTTCTTCCTGAAAAAATGTTGCAGACAAGTTCTTGATAGGAGGTGATGATATACCTCAAACACAAGTTTTCAACCTCTGATTAGGAGAAAATAAATCGAAGGTTAGGTTTGGTCACATGAAAAGAACCAACAAAATTTTGATCCAAATGACTAAAAGATTTGCATATTAAAAATTCATCTGGTATGATTGGCAAATATTATTTTATATCCCAATCAGAGTTTATAGTAGAGCAGCATAGCATTGGTAATCCAGTATCACCACAAGAAGAATTCACAATAAACCACTTCTGTGAATGACCTATATTCCCCTCTATTTTTTTTATCTTATTTTGTATTTGCGAAAGAAGTACACTAATAGGAAGCACAAGATACAAGCATCGAGAACAAGATGTCCTGACTTGCAAAAGTACATAAAGTTGAGTAAAATCAAGTGGATAATGATCACTCCACAGCTGCACGTTGTTAAAGAATGCAGCAACTGAAGCCACCAGCACCTTGGTTCGTGAAGATAATCACCCCATCACACACACAATGTAAGTAATGATCTTGAGAAACAATATCATCTTCAAATCCAAATTAAGCACGCAATTGACATTGTAGCACTTCTCCACACTAATTTAAAATTAATAAGAAACCAAATTCAGGAACAGCATAATGTTTGGGTTGTTGTCCAAAGATCTTATTAAACCCTCAATCTTAAAAAGAACCTGGGACTTGCAAATGAATGAGCTAAAAGGGAAAATGGTACGAACCATAAATAAACAAGGTAAGACCAGAAGATCTGTACAAGAATATATCCAAGCAAAAGGATTAAAAAAGAAAAAATAATAAAAGTGAAGCCACCAAAATCGCCGTCCTCTTTATGATTAAGATTGTGACAACAGGTGAAAATTTTAAGAGACGGGCCATCAGTCATCATTATAAAGAGGACAGCGATATGTTACCCCCACCCCCAAACAGATAAAAATTGCCTTTCCAGTCACACTTTGCTGCTATTTTTATTATTCAACCAGGCACGATGACAAAATATGGTGGAAGCACCAGAAAGGATAAACTTTCCTTGGCTGAAAGGAAAAGATAGTTTCGTTTGCAAGCTGAAATGAGAAAAAGTGTGGTTCTCTTTAGTTGTTGATATTCCGCTTAGGTTACACTGAATGCTAATGCACATGCAATTTCATCATTTAATCTAACCTAAGCAGAAGATTCAGGAATAAATTGAATCTTGAAACTATGTTTCTCCAGGCGAAACCTAGATATAGAAAGAAGGGAAAAAAAATCTGCTAGGGAATCCTATTAGAAGTAATACTGTAAACTGTGAAGTTGCCTCTTCACAGTAAGGTAGATACGAAAGATAACTGGGCCCAATCTTAACACCTTTCTACTTTCTTTCTCCTTTATCGGTCCACTCATAACACTTGAAATACTAATAATAACCCTAAATATAAACAATAAACATGATAAATTTTGTCATGCAATGATGAGATTTGCTTCTAAATGAGAAGTCAACTAATGATTTCAAATCGTGGAGCAAAGATTGACATCATTCTTCTCCCTTTTATCATTGCACTAAAACTATAGATATCTGTACTTCTAACCATTCTGCAGATTATATATCTCAAATTTGTCAAATGATTGTAGTGCATAAAAGAAGTACTTCTAACCATTCTGCAGTTCTATCTTGGATTGCTGCAAAAAACTTGGTTATGGCAACCCATATAAAGTTCTGAAGCTTATCCTAGTGAACTTCTGTCAAGGAATACTAATAGCTTCCTGTAGCAACGCACCTTCTCGAGTAGATTATGGTCTACCCTTCAACCGCTTAAAATGCGATTGGTTCAATTTTTCTCCCCGTCCCTCTGAGTGGGTGGGTAGGCAGCCACATCATAGATAACGTCATTAAGTGATTAGTTTTCACTGGACTGATTTCAAGACTAGAAATCTCAATAATGAGAGCAGAAAAACTTGAATCAATAACTGATGGCCAAAGGTCAATACAATTCCTGTTTATGATTGCTCGAATTTTGTTTGAAGGAAAATTTTGCATAACCCAGTATTATAAATAGCAAATGCCTTTAGACTTTATTGTGCTTCTCTCTACATGCACAGATTTAAGCACCTAGAACTTGTTCAAATAAACACAAGCATAAAGCTCAAATTTGTTTAAAGGATAAAAGGGAATTGGGAGGAAGAATCTATTATCCATATTACAGAGGGAGTAAATGGTGCAACATTCTCCTAAACCTTCACTTTTCTATTCATCTAATATAGGACAACATTGAGGGAACGAACTCTTTATCATAAGCATTTTCTTAATGAGAACCACACAAGATTTTAACCACAAGTGTGCTAGTCATATTACATCACATAGAATCCCAGCCTCTTGTTTTTCATTCAACTACTCAGAAAGGAGTCAGCCTTCCTTGCAATGAAACTATAACCATCTCTTCCCCCTTTCTTCCTTCTAATGAAACACGCCTCCTAACAAATCTCAAGGCTTAGACCATGAAAAACAAGGAAAAGACAGGCCACTTACGGATTTGCATAATAGAAGGGCTAAACCATTTTTTAGAAATAAATGCAAGAGTCAAAAAGTGATGAAGCAAAGTGGGATGGGGTGTTGACGTAGATCTACTTCAGAAAATCCCTTATGAAGTTGGCTAAGGACTTCATGGTAGACTTCAAAGTGAATCGAATGGTAAATGAGCTTAGTAAAAGTTCGTAGATGTAACAAATATAAATTTAATGGAATTTGCTTCAAGACTGGCCTTATAATAAATTCCAAATCTACCCTTAAGCACATACTCCACTTCAGGTGCAATAGTGTGAGAAAGAAATCATCAAGTTTGAAGAACTACAAGTTCATAACAAAATCTCTTAAAACGTATGCCTGTGTCTTATGTACTTTATATGAGTAATTACTCATTATATTTCATAGGGCAAAAAACATTTTATAAAGGTAGGACATGAGCACACCAATTAAATTTTTTTTTAATTATATATTCTACTAATATCTTTGCTTTTTAAGCTTTTATTTTTGATTCTGAAGATAAAAGTTCTTGAATTAAAGAAGTAGCTATTTATTGTATCAAGATTACTCTAGGCTGTGCATTTATTACAAGTGCCGACAAAAGAAGATATGCATACCATAGACATAATGCAAATTCAATTCGAATTTTATAGAATATTTTAAAATTACACAAGTTTTATTTTCCATTTGGGAAGAATTTATAAACGGTTTAATTTATAAATAGATAAAGATGAGTGGTAAATGAGTGGATAGTACTTATGAACCCAGTGTGGTTGGAAATGAAGTTTGATCATTTATAAATGATTTATAAATTTTGGCAAACATAGGCTTAATAACTAAAAATTTCTCAAAATATATTCCTAAAATTTATAAAACAATGCTTGACATGTCATGGACGTATTGGGTACTACTCAAGTGGCAAAATCAAAATAGGACGAGCAACATGCAAAAGGAGTGTCAAGAAAGTGCCTAATACGTATCAAGCACGCACTCCAAGCTAGAAGTGTTTGCTCTTCATGAGTTTCAACAAATAAGTGCAAGAAGACACTTTGACGAGGATCCTTAGGGATATTCTTGGAAGACTACCATAAACTAGGCACGCCGCCAGGCAAAAATAAAAAGTATATTATAATTTAGTTGATAGATTTGCTTTATTTTCATTGCATACTTACTAGTTTTAAATTAGGTAGATTTTCATTCTATTAGTTTGGTAGCTTTCCTTATTAACTAGAGACTTTTTAAGTACAAATACATGTAAGATTATTTTACTATAGACAGAATATTGACATATATTTTCCTCCTCAATTCATCTTGATCCCTCTTTTACGCTCCTCTCTTTTATTCTCTCTTTCTTCTAAATTATTGTGTTAAATATACCGAACATCGTCACATTTATCAGCTAATATTAGTCAATGGTACACCCATAACCTTAACAACGGGATACATCTTTTCTTGTTCATTCTTCATTTGACAGTAGTGGAGATTAATATATCTTTATTTCTCAAATGCAAATATATTTATTGAACAATCGACAGTTTCATAGTTCACTACTTGTCCCCCTAATTTAAGAGTCATAGATGTCTAATATTAATAAACATAAAAACTAATATATCTTTTATTCTAATACTGCATCATAACCCATGAAAACTATAATTTGGCAGTTTTAGAACATGTCTGGCTAAGGTTAAAATAAGTAAAGTTAATTTTAAATAATTTTTTATTGTTTCCAAACATGCAGGATACAATACCTTTTTTAGCTTTTTAAGTTTTAAGTAAAGAAGTTACTAATTCCAAGAGTAATTCTTACAAAATAAGTAACTCACTTGTTCACTAATGATAATTGTATTTTATACACTTATTCGGGGGCCTAACATATCGACATTTGGTCATTCTTTTGACAAAATATATCTTAGATTGTTATATTTTATGTTATATAGATAAAATTCAATGGTTGAACGAGGAATTTGAAGAAACAAAAATAATAATAAAAAAAGAAGTTACTAATTCAATAATTGATTCGGACCACAAGACAATACTTTAAAGATTGGTAGGAGACAATTAGATGGAATTAGAACTCAAAAAAGAATGAAATATGATCAAAATATTATCAAAATCAATTTCCAATCGCACAAGTTATATTCCAGATTTTTAGTCGAAAATTGAGATCCATTTTTGACATAGTAAATATCCGAATTGGAAAAATTTTATTTCTATAAAAGTTGTAACCCTTTGAGTTAACTTTCCAACGCACTTTGAATTGCCCCAATCAGATATTGAGAAAGAAAGTTATGGCCAAAGTACTGACTGCTATGGGAGACAAAAAATCCGCGCGATGGAATGCAACTTTCCTTATTCGATTATAACTCTTTTGGAAACCAATTTGGACGTGATTTTCAACCAATTTTCTACTCATACAAATACCTAACAGCAGAATACATATTGAAGATCTCTCATATACATCATATATTCCAATATTCATTAATTATTATCATCAATGAGGAAAATTCATAGTTTTTTATGAGAGAATTGAAGGGGACTTGCAGGAATTCAATCAATTGGAGATTTAAACTTGATTTTTTTAGGCAAAGAAGAGAAGACTCAAGTGGAGATTCATCTAAAAACCATTGAAGAGATTCAAGATTTCAATATTCATCTTCTCAATTTATCAAAAATCTGGATTATATCTTTTCACTTAAATATGATATCTTGTAATTTTGATATGTTAGGCTAGTTTTATACATTGCTATGATGAGATAAATCCTTGTTATGAGATTTTTGATATTAATTAATTATTTTGACAACTAATTTTCTTGGATGTGTATTATTGTTTTCACCAACTTTTCAATTAATTAGCTAATAATTGAGATGATTTATTGGAATCTATTATTATTGAGAGAGATAATAGGTTTTTAGCTAAAAATAATAAACATTGTAATAGGTTTTTAGCTAAAAATAATAAATATTGTAAAGTTCGACAGAGGGTAGAGATATACCACTATACTTTACATGATTTCCATAGATGTTCTAGATCGTTTAATGCATTTATCATGTTTCCATCTTTCATCGAAAAATAGGAGGGTCACATGAGGGGAATAGATTTGATAACCATCGATAGAGGTTTTCAATTAAATTATGAACACTGACCAACAAGAATGATTACAAATTGTCACTTTAATTCGTTGTGCTAAAAATGGATTAACAAGGGGATTCGACATCTTAGCAATACTTTCACATATTTGAAATCAAACATGTTAAATTGTTTTCTAGTTTAATCGATAATTTAGATATTAGTATAGAAAACTCAAAACCTATTTGTTATTCGATTAAAGTTGCTATTAATTTGAACTAAATTGAATACTTAGTCCTCGTGGATTCGACACTCTACACACTACATTATTACTTATTCACGATTCCGTTTACTTGCGGGAAATCAAACGATCAACTAATAAGTAAACTTTATCAGTATAGTTATGCCAAACATGCTCTTACTACCAACTTTGATCTTCTGAAAGAATTATAATTTCAATCATCACAAAAATGAAACCCTATTCCAAAATTTGAGGATGTAAAAGATCCATATTTTGAGCCAGAAAAAGGCACTCAAAAAGCTTCAGATCCAGAAGTTTAGATATTCCAAAAATTAGGAGCTTCTTGCATCCTGCTACTGGACTCGAGAAATTCATATCCGTAATGTCGTCTTGGATCTTTGCACTAATATATATGTCACACAGGAGTTCAATTCACCACTATTTTAAAAATTAAATGTAACTGGCTCCTAGTGATAAATTAAAATCACCTCTAAACCCTTGTAGTTGGAATACTCTTACTAAACAGAATCAATATTCTTCAAGACCAAATAATGCTAACAAATTAGTCCTTCCACTTGCAAACATTCCAATAAAGAAGAACCAGTAACACAATACTTGCAGCAATTACAAACAATACTGTTACTGAATAATGATATTCAGCATGCAAATTCAGATTTCTTTCATAAAAAATCTAGTAAATTGACATAATGTCATTATATTCATCTTAATCACAAAATAAGTACAGTGACCACTCTTCATCCCTCAACTGACTGAATTTCATTCTATGCTTGCCATATGTCTAAAGTTTAAAATAATAATGAAAAAGATAATAATTAGGGTTTCACAGTTTGGAGGTCCTTTGTACAGAATCCCAATTAAATACGCAAAACAATAATAGGATAATCCAGATAGAGCTTCAGGAAGCATATTGTACAACACGTGGATGCGTCAGACATTGAAAGCGGAACCCAATAGACTGACTACTACGACATAAAATAACACACACAAGAAAAGCACTTTGAAGAGCATAAATGCGTAAACTCAAAGCCAAATTGTCCAGGTAAAGCTTAACCATGGATAACGTACAACACTAGGATGCGTTAGACATTTGAATGCCGGAATTCGATAAGTAACTACATAGACATAAAACACACACATCAAAATCTTGAGGAAAAACGAAATAGTAAAAAGAAAAGGAAACGAACCTGGAGCGAGCAACGTTGCCGCACTTGATGCACTTGGGTTTATTTAAACCGCGGAGATTCCGGGAAGCATTGATACCGGAGGAGTGAGGTAACGCCGTTACGTCGGCGGAGGCGACGCTGCTGTTACTTTTCACCGGTGAAGAGGCTGCCATTTTTGCACGATTCAGTTATTACTGGATTTAATTTTGCTCCATTTTTGTTTTTTTTTCTTTTCTTTTCTTTTCTTTTCCTTTTTTTTTTTTTTTTTTTTTTTTTTTTTTTTTTTTTTTTTTTTTTTTTTTTTTTTTTTTTTTT